CAGATCTGGAGCCTAAGTCAGATCAGGGGCCTCAGTCAGATCTGGAGTGTCTGGAGCCTTGGTCAGATCAGGGGCCTCAGTCAGATCCGGGCCTACGGAGCCTAGGTCAGATCAGGGGCCTCAGTCAGATCTGGAGCCACAGGTGCCCAGGTCAAATCTAGAGCCTAGATCAGATCAGGGGCCTCAGTCAGATCCGGAGCCTACGTCTAATTTGGAGCCTAGGTCAGATCAGGAATTTCTGGAGCCTAGGTCAGATCTGGGGCCCTCAGATCATCAAGACACACAGAATATATCAACAGGGATCAGCCTCATAATACAGCACACAACCTCGGCAGAGCCTCTCATTAATGGTACGGCTGAGATAGTGAACAGGGCCCAGCCAGTGAACAGGGCCGAGGCTCAGCGTTTGGCAGAGAAGCTCTACAGACTGGATGGGTTTCAGCGCACAGATGTGGTCAGGCATCTGGACAAGGAGTACGTCTTTGTGTCTTACAATTAAATGTGATAGAATAAAGACAACTCTGTTTTATTGATGGTCCTGTATTAAACTTTCCACAACCACATGAAACAGCACACTTCAACACTAATAATAATCATAAATGTTTCTTGATCACCCACTGGCCTCTGTCCATCATGGCCTCCTAACCATCCCCATATTCCAATTGGCTTCATCACTGTCTCCTCTCCACCAATCAGCTGGTGTGTGGTGTGCAGTCTGGCGCAAAATGGCTGCCGTCGCGTCATCCAGGTGGATGCTGCACACTGGTGGTGGACGAGGAGATCCCCCCTCCCATTGTGTAAAGCGCTTTGAGTGCCCAGAAAAGCTTATATAAATGTAAGGAACTATTATTAATTATTATTATTTCTTGTATGTAATTTCTGCAGTAATGACTTCAGTCGAGCAGTCGGGGAAGAGTATCTGCGGTTCTTCAACTTCACCGATCAGAGTCTGGAGCAGGCGCTACGGTAGGCCAAACACACACATGCAGGCGAGTCTCCAGACCAGCTTCACAGCTGTGTTTTCATCCCTCAGGTGTTTCCTGAAGGAGGTGGTTCTGCTAGGCGAGACTCAGGAGCGCGAGCGTGTCCTGCAGCACTTCTCCTGTCGCTTCCAGCAGTGTAACCCCGAGGCCTTCAACTCCACGGCCAGCGTGCTCACACTCACCTGCGCCCTCATGCTGCTCAACACAGACCTGCATGGACAGGTGAGTCTCTCACAGCTCTTCATGTCACAGAAAACGCTTCCAGGTGTGTGTGAGAGAGAGAAAAAACGTATGTGTGTCTCCAGAACGTTGGGAAGCCCATGTCCTCAACAGACTTTGTGTCGAATCTAGAGGGCATGAATGGAGGTGAGAGCTTCAGCCGGGACCTCCTGAAGGTGAGAGTCGATTTCTCCTGCGTCTGTGTCCGCTGTGTTCAGTACTGACCCGTTTCTCCTGCTCTGTGTCCGCTGTGTCCAGTACTGACCTGTTTCTCCTGCGTCTGTGTCCGCTGTGTCCAGTACTGACCTGTTTCTCCTGCGTCTGTGTCCGCTGTGTCTAGTACTGACCCATTTCTCTTGTTTTCCAGAGTCTCTACAGCTCCATCAAGAGCCAGCCGCTGCAGTGGGCCATGTGAGTACTTGTATCTGCACTGCTGGATGTTCAGCTCTGGTTGTTGTCTGACGCTCTTCTGTTTCTCACAGAGAGGACGAGGTTTTGGCCAAATCCCTGATGCCAGAGACAGACAGGGAGCAGGATGGGCCGCTGCGCTCCAAGAGTAACCCGTTCCAGGATCTTCCACACGACACCAAGGCCAGCGTCTTCCACAAAGGCTTTCTGAAGCGGAAAGCACATGCAGACATCGACGGCAAACGCAGTGAGTCCCCATCTGGATTAAGAGCAGTTCAGGATAAGCACACATGAGGAGAGGTTACTGCTCCTCTACTGAGCGTACAGTCAGTGTGTTTGCAGACTAATAACCGTCTGATTTGCAGCTCCCTGGGGGAAACGAAGCTGGAAGACGTTTTATGCCATGCTGAAGGGAATGGTGCTGTACCTGCAGAAGGTGTGTGTGTGTGTGTGTGTGTGTGTGTGTGTGTGTGTGTGTGTGTGTGTAAGCAGATAAATGTGTTTGCTTTATGTGTGTGTTGTCAGACCGCAGTGAACTGACCCTGTTTGTGTCCTGCAGGATGATTACGTGAAGGATGGTCAGGGTTCAGATGAGGTGCTCAGTGTCCATCACGCACTGGCCGAGCAGGCTCTGCAGTACACCAAACGGCCACATGTCTTCCGGCTGCAGACGGCCGACTGGAGGGTGTTCCTGTTCGAGGCCCCGTGAGTGTGTGTTTAGGGTCTCTGAGTCCCTATGAGTGTGTGTTCAGGGTCTCTAAGGCCCCGTGAGGGTGTGTTTAGGGTCTCTGAGGCCCTGTGAGTGTGTTCAGAGTTTTTTGAGTCCCCGTGAGTGTGTGTTCAGGGTCTCTGAGGCCCCGTGAGGGTGTGTTTAGGGTCTCTGAGGCCCT